CACGGTTGTCTCGGGTTTAGGGGTAGCACCCGCTTCGCACGGGGCGGCGTACATGTGCTGGTCAGGCCCCCTGGGCCTCCATCTGACGCCTGAATTGAGGGCGAAAATAGAAAAAGGGGAATTTGTAGAAATTTTTTCTCTCCTCCCTTTGGAAGATCTTCCTCGGGTGGATACGGATGCAAAAGAGTCTGAGAAAGACAAAGAGAAGTTTCGGTATCGGAAGATTCCGAAAACTTTTGGGAACTGGATTAGAGCATTTCTATCCTGGCTAGCGTGATAGGTGTAAAGACTCCCAGCAAATGCTCTGTTTTGCTACCAGGACATGATATGGAACGCTTGTCGGGTTTATGGCGGGTTAGGGTGGTGGCGGTATGATGAACAGTTCCGCCAACGATTAGTGGTTGGGATCAAATGGACATCGGCTTGTGGTTGGCTATCATGACCCGCCCGGCCTCGCATCAAGGGGGCCTTTCCACTGGTTGGGATCAAATGGACATCGGCTTGTGGTTGGCTATCATGACCCGCCCGGCCTCGCATCAAGGGGGCCTTTCGTCCTTTCTTGGGGGGGCCGGCGCTGGGTCCTCATCTTCAGCGTCGGCCGGTCAGCGGAAGACTGGGTGCTGTTGGCAATATAATGATGGCCAATGCAAGTTTGGATCAGGTTGTCGCTTCAAGCATGAATGTTCTGGGTGCGGCGGGTCCCACCCTGCGTCAAAATGCTTTAAACGTGGCAAGTCTGGCGAAAAAGGAGATTCCGTGGGCGCTAAGGGCGAGGACGCCAGTGGACGTCGACGCGATGCGCCCATGGCTAAAGCGTTATAACAATAAGAAGGCGACTGCCTTGTTATTGGAGGGTTTTGGGCAGGGTTTTTGGATCCCTCACCGGGCTCGGCAGGTCTCCGGTTTCTGCCGAAACCTGAGGTTGGTTGCTGATCACCCGGGGGTGGTCCGGGAAAAATTGGCCAAGGAGGTAGCGTTGGGCCGCATGGCGGGCCCCTTTCGGGAACCTCCACTCCCCGATCTGAGGGTTTCACCACTAGGTGTCGTGACAAAAAGGGAACCAGGAAAGTTTAGGCTGATTCACCATTTATCGCACCCTCATGGGGGCTCGGTGAATGATGACATTGCCGCTGAATTGTGCCACGTTTCCTACGCGTCGTTCGACGTGGCGGTGGATATGGTCAGGGCCGCTGGCCCCGGGCACTCATGGCAAAAACCGACATTGAGTCTGCTTTTCGCCTCCTACCGGTTCACCCGGAGTGCCACCACCTCCTGGGTTGTGCATTCGAAGGTCATTATTACGTGGATATGTGCCTCCCGATGGGTTGTGCGATATCCTGTTTTTATTTCGAATGTTTCAGTTCCTTCATGGAGTGGGTAGTGAGAGCGGAGTCCGGTTACGATTCCTTGCTTCACTACCTAGACGACTTTTTATGTGTGGGCCCTGCGCACTCCCCGATATGCGCGCAGCTTCTGCAAGCAGTGGCGGATGTGGCCTGCGAGTTCGGGGTGCCGCTGGCACCAGACAAAACGATTGGCCCTTCCACGTGCCTGTGCTTTCTCGGGATCGAGATTGATTCCGTTATTGGGGAATGTCGGCTTCCTTTGGATAAATTGTCTAATCTTCGGGAGGTGGTGCACGTGGCGAGCGCATCCCTGTTGGGCAAGCTGAACTTTGCCTGTCGGATTATGCCCATGGGCAGAGTGTTCAACCGGCGCCTGGCAGCCGCTACGGCTGGGATATTGAGGCCGTCCTACTTCGTCCGCTTGACCAAAGCGCTCAGGGAGGACTTGGCAGTATGGGCGGTTTTTCTGGATGGGTACAACGGCAGGTCCTACTGGCAGCAGCCTGAGGTGACGAACTCGGTGCTGCACCTGTTTACGGATGCCGCGGGTTCATCGGGTTTTGGGGCTATTATGGGTAGGCAATGGTGTGCGGAACCTTGGCCCGAATCGTGGTTCACCTCTGGCCTGACCAAGAACATGGCATTCTTGGAGCTCTTCCCCATTGTGGTGGCTATCCATCTTTGGGGGCCAGAGATCAAGAACAGGCGTGTCGTGTTCCACTGTGACAACCTGGGCGTTGTCCAGGCCATTAATAGGTTAACGGCCTCCTCCCCTCCAGTGGTCAGGCTCCTGCGGCGATTGGTTTTACGATGCCTGTCTTTTAACGTGACATGCCGCGCTGTGCATATTCCTGGTGTGGAGAATACCACGGCTGACGCTCTTTCTCGTTTCCAATGGCAGGTGTTTCGTTTGGCCGCGCCGGAAGCAGATATGGAAGGCCTCCCCTGTCCCAGAGAGCTATGGTCCCTTGGCCTGAGCGAATAAGGGAATGGATTCGGTCTTCGGTGTCAGAGGCAACTTAGGTTCGGTACGGTAAGGCATGGGGAGACTGGGTCGCTTTAGAACAGGACCTAGGTGGGTTCGCCTCGACTGCTGAAAGGGTTCAGGGGATGTTACGGTTGCTCTGGTTCTGGGAAGCTAGCGGGTGTTCTCCGGCTACGGTTTCGGGAAAGCTATCGGGTCTTAGTTTCTGGTTCAACTTGACTCAGGTGCCGGATGTTACTAAGGACTGCATGGTTCGGCTTGCAATGCGCGGCTGGCGTAGGGGCCCTCACCTGCGGGATTCTCGGAGGCCGGTTTCAGGTGCACTGCTATTAGGTATCGCGTCGGTCCTACCCAGGGTCTGCTTTTCCGATCTGGAAGCGCGTTTGTTTCGGGTGGCTTTTACTTTCGCTTTCTTTGGCGCTCTACGGATCGGTGAGCTTGTGAGCCCTAGCAAACAGATCCCGGGGGGCTTGTTGTTCAACGATGTGTCTGTCGTGAATGATACGGTGCGTTTTTTGGTGCGGAGGTCCAAAACCGACATCTTCGGCAAGGGGCATGGGTTACCCTCCGCGCCATTCCCGGTTCGGCCGTCTGCCCTGTCGCATCCTTTCAGTCTTACTGTCTTGGTCGTCCGGGTGTTGCGGGCCCGTTATTAATTCATGGGACGGTTCCTTCCTTTCTCGCTTCCAATTTCTCCGGGTCTTTCGGTTGGCACTCGAACAACTGGGTATTTCGAGCGCAGACTTTGGGGCGCATTCTTTCCGGATTGGGGCCGCAACTGAAGCCTCCCGTTTAGGTTTTTCGGACCAGGCCATTCAAAGGACTGGTAGATGGGAATCGGGGAGGTTTTGGTCCTATGTACGGCCCACACGTCTGATCGGTATCCCCCTTGTGTTTTCTCCACAGGGCCCGGCCGACGGATCTGGCTGATCGGTCATTCTTACATCTACTGGGCCCAACTGCGGGCAGGGGTTCGCCCGGGTGGGACACGGCTTGGAATACCTCGGGAGCTGGCGGAGGTCCGGTGGTTCGGGTTCCGGGGCATGAGATGGGGTCAGCTATTGCCGGAGGTTGTGCAGTTGTCTACTTTATTACGGGCCCCGGATGTCTTAGTGGTGCATCTGGGGGGAAACGATCTGGGGTCGCTGCCTGCGTGGGGCCTGGGGGAACTGATCAGGCGAGATTTGGCGCGCTTGCGAGTGCTTTTTCCACAACTTTGCCTAGTTTGGTCGGGTATCGTTTCCAGGAATTATTGGAAGTGCGCACGTGATCAGGGTGCTATTGAGCGCTGTAGGGTAAAAATTAATAAGTGGGTTGCTAAATTTGTTTTAGGCGTCGGGGGTTTAACAGTGCGACACCGTATTTTTGAGCGTGAGGCAGCGATTTATTTTCG